TTTGGGATTTGGGATTTGGGATTTTGGCATTTGGGATTTCGGCATTTGGATTTTGAATTTGGGTGGCAGGTATATATCAGGTATCCGATAAGTGTAAAAAAATATTTTCTACACCTATTGGATATCTGATATACACCCGATATTAGAGACGTGCCATACACATATCAGGTATCTAGGGACGTGCCATGCACATATCGGATATCCGATATGTGTATGTTTTATCAATTTTCGACCAGTGATAGGGTTAAGAATTTAGTGTATACTATGACAATTGTTAAAAAAACCTTATGTCACAACCTAGATAATAATATTTTACCAGTACAAAATTATGTTGTGATAAATAATCACAAAAAAAATCAATCTCCTGAATATGCAAGACTATTTCAAATCTATGATGATAACTAATTACTCTTCTTTGTTTTGAGAACTTGTGTACATATTTCATTCTCATCAATACTAGAATATTCAGAACTTGATTTAATTGAGGATGAAGATGAAGGATTACTAAAAATAATCTTTTTTCTTTTAGCCTTACATGGTATACAATTTTTTCAAGAAATATTTGGGTTTATTATCATGTTTATAATTTCTTGACGAACTTCAGGTTTCACTATTTCATCTTCTCACATTATATATTTGAAGCTAGATATATTCAGATAACAATAAGTAAAAATAAATTCCTGAATATATAACTATTATATGTTTACCTTTAACAATTTAACTGTATATTTTTTTTTTGAATATAAGAAAAAAAAAGAGAAATCTGAATTTTTTTATCCAATACTTATTTATTAATATAAGATATCACTTTATCAGTAGTATTAGATAGTCTTTTATCTATTTTCAAATTTAATATTTTTATATCCTTATAAGAGATAATTGAATATTCTAAACCTGAATCAATTACTATTGTTTCAATTTTTTTATAAAGTTCTTGTATCAACTCAATATTGTTATTAACTTTAACCATTGTATATGTTAAATTATGTTTATTAATATGAAATAAAAAAATACAATATTGAATATATCATTATACATAACAATAAAAAGAACTTTTTTTAGATTTTGGTATAAGAGACACGATTAATTAAATAGATCAAAATTTATTTTTAAATTCACCTTTAAATTCATCTCCTGATTTATCAGATTTAAAATTTCCAAAAAAATTTCAATACTGATATAATATGATTAATCTGTAAATAATTATTTCAAGATAATAAAGATATATGTCATAGCATTGAGTATCGATTTAGATAATTAAGACCTTAAAAAAATATTCTTCAATGGTCTATCATGAGAAAATAAAATAGAAACAATTCAATTTGAAATTAAGAAACCTATAAAAGAGATAGTTAGATGTATAAAAAAAATTGACATTGGATTTACTGATATGCAAAAGTTTTGATTTGAATATTTGGAACAAGGAAATGATTCATTACTGAAATATTATGTAAAAATAAAAAAAATATAACGAAAAGTTAAATATGAAGAGGAACAATTTAGGTATCAATTCCTTCGTGATTTAAATTTTGATAATTAGTTAGAAGTCAAAATATATGAATTAGAGCTCCCATTAGAAAAACTAGAGAAAAAGTTAAGTGCAATTGAGAATATTCAAAAAATACATAGTATATGTGCCTAAAATTAATTATTCAAATATTAGTTGTTTTTTTCAATTAAAGATATATAATAATATATTACTTGAGAATAACGTAACTATTGTGGAGCAATGACCCAAAGGATCTAAATATTTTTGATTTATCAGAATTGCTAGAACAGATCTTATATTTTTTAGAAATCGATTGATCCCTTTATCCTGCTTTATTTGTTAACCACCTTTGGTATCACTACAGTACTCTTATTCTATGATATCACGTTAAGTTTTTCAATGAAAATTAAATATGTCTCAGGTTCTTACTTGAAGATTAATAAACTTTAAAAGAGTCATGTATGAAAAAATAAAGTTATTCTATTGTTCAAAAAATGGTATATCTCAAATTGGAAAGTTTAAAAATTTCAGATACTTTAATAAATACAATTCTGCATTCATATCCAGATATATATTTTTTCATTCTTGATAAAAGTAAGGATTTTACTAATATATCAATTATAGAAATTACAAAATATTGCTCAAAGTTATTACATCTGAGTCTTAACTCATATATATATCTCACTAATCAATGTATCACTGAAATAATACATTTTTGTCTAAAACTTAGACATCTTGAACTTGGTCAGTGTTCGATTGGTAATGAAGCTATCGAGAAAATAGATATCTTGATTTGGAAGGATATAGGGATTAACAAATAAGTAATAAAAAAACTCAATTCAAAAATTAAAATCGAACATCTTAATTATTTAGATAATGAATGGCTTTATTCTGATCTAGAAGAGAATCCTATGAATTCAAATCTATATCTATCTATTTCAATCTTTACTGGTAGATTAAATAGGTTAGTTTTAACCAGATCCTTTAGAGACTACTATTTGAGTTATATATCAGATGAAACAGATCTTATTTCTGTAATTAGTAATTATCTCAGAGAGAATCTTTCAACGAAAGTTATAAATAATCACATTTATTAGTGAAGAATGGATAATTAATTATTAGTTATTTTTTTTTGACCATTGTCTATGTTAAATTATTTATTAATATATAATAAAAAATAAAATATTAAATATATATTGTTTCAACCACAAAGTGATTGTCTTCAGTAATAAAATACTACAATAGAAATTATATTTGATCAATGTGAGCAAAAGAACCCACTATTGACACAAGGTAATCTTTCTATAAAAGAGAAACTTTTCAAGAATTTTTTTATTACAGGATTAAATCTCAAAAACCAACTGGTAGTAAAAGAATATGGAAAATATCTTCCATTAGAAGGTTTAGTAAAATTGCTAACTATAAATGAAATACATGCCAAGTGTGATCTACCCTCACCATATCACCTATGAAATTTTTCATTTAATGAATTTTATTTATCTAATGTAAGAAAGCAAATCGACTTACCCATCTGTTATATTTATTTTTTCGATCAGCTTAGAGGATTGTACATCCAAATCTGAGATAGACTCTTCTGATCTTAAAAATGTATAATTATTTATCAAGTTATTAGTTATTTTTCTGCTATAATATAATTATTTTACCAATGTGTATAAAAACACTTGTCAAAGAAAAAATCCTAGTAAAAATATTAATAGATATAACATCTAAATTCAATACTATTAGCAGGTGCATGTTCGATAAGCTTGAAGAAGATTATGGAATACATAAACCTGATGAGAATCTCTATAAAGAAATAATAGGTAAAATAAAATGCTTAGATTTGTAATTTCACTATAAAGGAAAGTGACGAAGCTTAGATAGTACCGAAGTAATAGACTTTCAAATTTACAAAAATCCATTGTTTGATTTGGTACTGGGACGGGAATGGTTATGGATGTGCAAAGCAAAAATTAGCTTTAAACGTTCTCCCAAAACCTATGTCTGTCATACTAAAATTGTAATAGATAATATGAGTATCCTATTAATTGAAAAAAATAGTAATAAATAGGATTTTCCCATGAAATTACCGGATATCCCTATGTATGAGATATTTCGCTTAGAGAACTTAAGTAACTTAAACAAAACAATATTTCATACCTGATGACCAAAACCATACTTCAATCGTCCAATTGAATTTTATAGCCTCACTTATTGCAGGTTCATAATCACCATCACCAGCTACTAAGACAAGTATACCGGGATCCGTAGTACTGGCAGTTACCGCTGTAGAAACCCCGAGAAACATATCTACTTTTTTTTCTTTATTTTCAATATTTCGCTGATAAATCTTCGCATCAAAACCTTGATTTTTAATTTGATCCCATAGTGAATCGTTCGGAAGTGGACGAGAGCCAACAATCACCGGATTACTGCCCATTTTTCGTCCTTTCAGTACTACTGATAGTAGACGGCCATGATCGATACAGAGCTTGTGAAGTTGGTAAGTACATCTTTGGAAATCAAATTCACCTGCTTGCTCAAGCCGACCAACAGTAAAATTTCCTTCGATAAATAAGTTGGAATTGTCCATAAAAACATATACAAGCCCGGTGTTTGATTTTGGAGTGTTTGCTATGTGAAAGAGAACCTTAGTAACGGCCTATATAATCGTGATTTACCTTGAATCTATAAACTTACTTTTTTTGAGTTCCTCAATAAAATTTACTAATTCCATGGCAAGTCCAAACGCAAAATCAACACTGCGGAAATCCTCTTTAGTCATTTTTAGGAAAACGGAGCCAGTTATTTTTTCCTTACGAAGTATTTTAAAGTCTTCAGCATCTAGTTTCAAATTCTTTTCTCGCAAATATTCGATTAGCTCCTTAGTGTCATAATTTTTAACTACATTTGTCATTTCGTGAGCGGAAACGCTTGAGGGTGAGGATGATTCTGAAGACATCTTTAAAAAGAAAGGTTTTATTACTGTAACTAAATTTATAATCAAAGAAAACCAGCAGGCTAGGCTTATAAGTTAAGTATGCGGAATCTATCATATCATAACAGGTTTTTATTATTGTGAAGCAAAGTACTGCGGATTATATGCAATTGAATATCATATTACAAGTATAAATTATTTTTTCGTGATCTATTATGATATAACAAATAATAACTTTATTGATCGTGAATATATTTTTTAAAACGCTACATTATAATGTAAAAGGCTAATCTGGTGATTATATGAACCAGTAACTGGAAAATTATGTTTTTTGCTTGGGGATTATGTTTAATATTGTTTGGAATTACGTGCGTTTTCACGTTTTAAACGATTACTCTGTATCTTAGGCCAGACCCACTAAGACAACACATGTTTTTATACGTTAGAACTCGACGTCGACTATTCATAGTATTGGTTCTTTACATCTCATATTAAATCAAGGTGATAAATTATCAGCGATTACAATGTTTGATGTGCTAGCCACTGTGCGACTGCCTTCAGCAATGTCAATGTATAGATCCACATTTATACCAGTATTCTATAACATTGGTTTTTTTACATTTTATACTAATCGAATTAATAGCGGGCTAGTGACACGGACACATAAATTACTGGCGATCGCTCACCTATAAAATCGTCTGTGTGTATATCGTCGATAATTAGCAATTCCTCATGTACCACTTGATTTTGTTTGTTACTTAATTTAGATGCAATATGGGCCTATTTTGGAATAAATGGTACTTGCCACGTTATCTCAAACACATGCTTTGATCACGGGTATAGAAATGTGCTACGTATACGTAAAAAATCAGTTTATCGTGGTTTATTATTACAAAATGAAATTGATGAAGGCGGACACACAGTGGCTATAATAAATTCGGGTGATGTATTTCCAAGTATACGTATAATTCAGTATAATCAAACACACCTACTATACTTCCCTTATTTTTATTTTCGACCACCACAAAGTTATTCCCTGAATTATACTTGTGTTCATATTTATGAGACTCATATACTGGGATGGACTATCAGTGAACTTACTCATTGTTATACACATATTGTTTTGAGACTTAGCCATATTACCTATATATATACATTTACTTGATTCAAATTTGGGAAAAATGTTTAATGTTTAGATATTATACATTTTTACTTTGCAAATTTTTCATTTAGTAGGATGTTTCTTAATGGATGTTGTCATATATGTATTTATAACTTCTGATAACAATCTAGACAAAGAAGAATTACTTGAGTCTGAAGTATCTGAAAAATCTGACTTTACCCATGGTAGCTTTGCTTTATTTATATAACTTAGTTCATATTCAATAATATGAAGTTTTTCAAAAATTCCATACTCCATATCATTTTCTATAGAATAAACCGACTTCCAAATATTATTGAGGTATACTTTGATTGAAAGATTTCTGCCTCCATCACCTAAATCTATTGCAGAGCAATGGCTCTTCAAACCTACTTTAGGATATTTCTTAATCTTGCTAACTCTTTTATATGTTGGAGATATAAGAGATATGTTGTTATTATATCTCTTTTGACACTTATTATATAAAGCAATAACCCTTCGAGTCTATCTTCAACATATAAAAGAATTTTTTTAATTATATTCGTGATATTATCTGTTGACAAATCAGACCTAGAAGGGTTATTTTTATTAGAATTGTTTTTTTACTCCCTGGATAAATCCTACCGGGATTTTACATATGCATATGGACAGGATCCCTTAGGAAGAAATTGTATTCTTCAATTAACTGACGGTGAAATGCTTTTAAAATGGAAAGATGACGAAATAATAGAATGTTTTGTTTCAAGCCATTCATTTGGATGGTGGTTCAGAGAAAAAGGGAAAGGAGGACCGATTATATACTTGTACTTCGATAATAAACCAAATTTGAGAAAGGCAGAAAATTGGATTAAAACTAATTATCCAAGTATAAGTATTTGGGAAGTAGTAATAGCAGATATAAAAAGAAAAAGTTGGACATGAAATGAGGCTACTTTGTAATTCCATACATTCCATGTAATAGTTTCAATAATACATTAAATTCGTTTATTTTTACATCGGGTTTGTAAAAACGTGAATTGAGGCATCCCAAAGTTATAATAGATTAGTGAAAAAATAAAAATATAGATTACAAGTTGCGTACAATTGAACTATTTGATTTATATTGAGTTACGTATATTATGATTATTTGTTTATAGATCTAAGCTTTTGGATGCCTGATTAATGAACTCCTTAATTTTTTGTATTCTTTCGGGAATAACTATTTCAGGTTTTTCGTCATCCCATACCTCAAGAAGAAAAATTCCGTTATCTTGACATATGCATCTTTTTAGCCGATCACGATTTACAACATCCTCAAGTTGTTTGACATCTTTATACCAACTAGTGCTATGAAGCCGATGCTGAGCCCCCACGAACCAGAAAAGAAGAAAGGAAAGTGTATTATTAAGACAAGGAATAAGGTAAGTATAGGATTTTTAATTATTTAACAAAAAAAAAAAAATAAAAAAAAAAATAAAAAAAGTAGAAAAAACTTACCATACGTCCCCTCACGCCCAATTCGAAGCCGATTTCGAGCTCACGGTGTCCCCACGAACAAGAAAGAAGAAAGGGAAGTGTATTATTAAGGCAAGGGATAAGGTAATATAGGTTTTTTAATTATTTTAAAAAAAAATAAAAATAAAGATAAATAAAATATATAAAATATCTCGGTCAAGTTTTATTTTATTTTTTTTTAAATAAAAAAAAAATTGATTATCTGCGATACAAATTATCTGTGATAAATTAATATTATCCGTGATAAATTAATATTATCTGTGATAAAATTGATTTATCTGCGATACAAAATTAATTATATGCGATATGATGTTATTATCCGTGATAAAATTGCTGTTATCCGAGATACAAATTAAATTATCTGTGATACATCCGAGTTATTTCACGCATACATGTGCGATTTAACTCGGACTTTTGTCCTGTTTGGCACGCCATATTTTATCAAAGAAAATTTATTGATATATAATATTATTTCGTTAGATCCACGTGGAAAAATATTTCGTTATACGTTGCACGATTTCTGAACTAAATTTAGTTTTTTTTTTTAATCAATTTTCGCGTGAGAAGAAAGAAGACCTGCAACTTATCGATAAAAGTTTATGACATTATTCGTAATCAGAGAATCTCTGGTCGTGTCTTCCTTAATATAACCGCACAACAGCTTGAGCAATATGACATGAAAGGTGGACCCGCGACAAGTTCTTTCAGACTTCGCCAAGGAGGTAAGTAAATTTCATTTTCACTCACACCGTGCCATATTCGCCAACAATGCCGAATACTTATTTAATCTTGTGTTTTCTATTGTCAAACCCGTTCAAAAAATACATTCTTGTTATCTTAGGGCAACACGTTTGCTGGTGAGTTGTAATAAATTTAGTCAACACGAGTGAACATGAAATGGCCTAAATTTTGATAGTCAGATTTCATTTTTTACCTTCGAACAAATGTCAAACTTCTTGTAATACATTGTTATTTCGACGTGTATTAACGCAATTACATTTATCTGGATTTTCTGTAGAAAACCGGATTTATGATGAAATGCATATTAACAGGACTGCGACGCTCTCATTCAACCATTCAGCTCTGTCCCAAGTTGAGTGGAGGATCTTATGTCTCTTATTAATGCGCCATTAACTCGAAAACTACCTGTATCCTTCGACGAGGAGACAAATTTTTCCCAGCTTGCTGATTTTATTGAAACAAAAAATGGTGAACGCGGAAGTAACTTATCAAAGCACATTTCCTATTTACTTACTAACATAGTTGAAAAGCAGAATTTAAATAGCACATCGAAAGATATGTTGCACTGGGGAATATATAGTATTATTAGAATCCCGCTCCAGATTTTTCATGAGAATATTGGTGGAGGAGTGCTTCCAATTGAAATGGATCGGAACGGTAAGGAAACAACAGCGATAGGTAATAAACGACCAGATTTTCTATACTGGACAAACAATGTACTTCTATATAAAGGCGAAGAGAAGGCTGCAATTGAGGATTTTTCAAAAGCTAAGAGTGAGCTTGAAGAAAAATTCAATAAGTTTGATCCTATGTATTTTGGAAATATACAGTTATGATTTGTTATTCTGCAGCAGGAGTAAGGTTACGTTTTTTTGCAATTGATGGATCATCAAACATAAATTCGCCAAGATGTTTAGTTACACTTTCAAATCAATTTGACATGAGTAATCGTCGAGACCGTGTTTCTATCCTCTGTATAGTGGTTAATATTGCACGCATAATGAGAACTGTGAGCAATATTATTCCCGAAATGATTGTTCCTCTGTTCGTCGTGACATCCGGTTACCAAATATTCTCTTTATTCCTGGTGTTGCAAATTATAAATATGTTCTTATCGATTTTTGAACATGCTAATGTGGGTGGACTAGTAGTGTCTGAACGGTTGAAGGATTGGGACAATAAAACACTCACGAAGAAGAATGTGTATACAGCACAATTTGATTTAGGAATCTTAATGTGGTGAATTCAGAAGCTGGAAGGAAATTTTTAGACGGTTTGAGAGATAAGAGAATTAATATGAACAATGTACTTGGTCATGAATGGTTCAGGTAAATCATGTTTATCTAACAATCCAGTGTTTGAAATTCAATGTACGGAATGTGCGCTAACACAAAATTTGAAAACTCCGCACACACAAATTTTTTTCATATAGAATTTTAAATTGTGTATATTCCGCACATGATTTAAAATTTGAATTTGAAACACTGTAACAATCCATGTATACATTTACAACTTTGCAATGTATTATAAAATTTCACATTCGATTTTTCATATTTTATTTCTTTGAGCTTTAATTTTTCATGAATTATAATAATATTTTGAATATGGTGAAAATGTTTTTACTATTAGTTGAAGAAAACCAAAACCAAAATATATTATTTATTTATATAATATTTACGCTATTAATTAGTTATATACATCTAGACAATTTTTAGAACATTTAAAATTGATAAAAAAAAAAATAAGATATAATTACACTAATTTTGCTTAATGAAAATAAAGAAAAATTAATTATATTAAAGGATACCAAATTTCTAATATTATTATTTTTATTAAATTCACATATGAGTTAAATAAGAAATAACATAATTTTAATTATATTTAATTTAAAATAATCTAACTTTTAATTTTTTATTCTGAAACCTTTTTTAAAAAAAAAATATTAAGAAATAATATAGGATTAAATATTATTATTTTATTTTTTTTTGTATCATGATTAGTAATTAATTAATTCAATTTTGAAATTTCTTGTTCAATGTGTGCATTATTCTCATCATCATCAAATCTAAGATTAAATAAATTAAATATTAGTCAAATTATCAATTATCATATTTTATCATCATTATTTTAATAATGAATTGTTGATTTCATATTAAATTTTACCTTTGTTGTGCTGGAGGTTCTTGACTACTAGAACTACCACCTCCACTTGCTCTTGCTGTAGATTCCTCATCATCCCATTTTGTAAATTCATCACCTTCTTCATGATCACCGATATCAAATATAGCAGATTCATTTCCTTCTCGTAATCGTTCATTTTCTCCTGTATTTTCTGATGGACCTCTATATTTTACCTGATCATATCCAAGATTTTCTGATGCTCGAAGAATATTGATTTCTAAATCCATGTCATCATCTTGTGTTAATTCTTCACTCATCGCAAATGTAAAATGTCAATATATATATATATAAGTTAAGGAAAGTAATTAGTCATAAGAAATTGTAGTAAGAAATTGAATTATAAAATTTTTTTTTTTTAAAAAAAATAAAAGGATATCTCTTATTATTTCGAGTTGGTCTCCAAATTATGAGAATCACACTGAATACTATCAAATATAAAACATTCAACCATCCATCTAATAAGAACCACCTCCATTGCCAATATTTTGCTATCCAATCCATATCTTCACGATGTGTATAATTGAACGTATTGATTAAAAAGAAAATTCCAAGAACGGTCACGGAAAATAATAGAAGTCGATATAGTCTCTTGTACATCAAAGCTTTGACGTTCTGACGACGAATTTCAAGTGTTTGCAAAGTATTTGTAATTGATTGAAGTGTCCATATATAAAATGCGGTCATTGTGAAAGCCAAAGGAAAGATGACCAAGAAAACAAGAGGATTTGTGGTATCTGGATTTATCAGCATTGTTCCTGCGGCATAAATAACGCCAAAAATAAAATGCGCTACTCCTAATGCTCTACATCTATTCATAGTGCTTCCAAGAGTAGGCCTAAATTAATAATAAATAAATAAATAAATAAACAATTAATTAATTAATAATTAATATATTTATAATAATTATTCATAATAATAATAATTTTGTTATTTCTAATAATAATAATCATAATTTAATTATTCATAATAATAATAATAATAATAATAATTAGTGCCTACTTGACTACACCATAACCCATACAAACAATTAACAACATAAAGAACGAAATAGAATTTCTTCCTGCATTGAGAATTGCAACCAAACCAAGAAGGAAATTTGCTAAATAATAAAATAATATAATAAATAATCTTTCTTTAATTTAATTAAATAAGAAAATAAAAAAAAAAAATATATATATATACATACAAGGATAACCATAAATGTTAAAATTCTCCCAATATCCCCAATTGAAAGCCATTTCTAACATGAGAAATAGAATTACACCTGAGATATAATTCTAATTCCAATAATAAGTATAAAAATAATAATGAAAATAAATAAAGAATAAAAAAAAAAAAATATCATAATAAATAAATAAATATAAATATAAATAATATTTATATACCTGAACTTGTAAAATATCACGCCAATGAGCAATACTAAGTGCCATCCAAGCTATACCGATTGCCAAATATACCAATGACAAAAGTCCATAAAACTAATAATTGAATGTATTGAAATTTGGTTAGTCACAAACGAAGAAATAAATATTTATAAAATTTGATAATAACGTATTCATTTAAAACTTACTGGTAACTTGGGATAATCCGCGGCAGGTAACTCTCCATATGGATTACGCCAGTCAATACCCACACCGAATTCGTCGGCACTATCACTAACACTTCGGAGAGCCCCGGCGCAATAATAACCAGTTCTATTAACATAATATATGTGTTCATTTTCGCCAGAGGAATTAAATGTTCCAGTCCAGATGCTTTTCGCTCCTTTCTGCACATCAAATACATTCTATTCATGTCCATGCAATGCATAATTAGATTAAATATTTATTATAATAATTAATTTAATATTTAATTTAATAATTAAAATTAAAATTAAAGAATTCAATAAATATTAACAAATATTTACTTTTCCTTCTCTGATATGAGGTTCAAAATTCTGATAATCGGACCATTCGAATATAATTACTATTGCACTTGCAACAGAACCTTCTAAATATTCAGCTAAAAATAATATATTAAAAATAATATATATATATATATATATATATATTTGAATTTTAATTATCTAAAATGAGGATTCGATTATTTTATTTATTTATTCTTTTACCAGTAATCTTTGGATCTGAACCTCCCGGGATCGCAGATTTCCCAAACATTCCTGAACATCTCAGATCAAATTCTGGATCGTCAGTCTAATTAATAAAGTATATTTAATAAATTAAATAAGAAAAATTCAAAACTTAAAAACTTCAAAAAAAGGTAGAACTTACCAAAACATCTACACTTGCTTTAATACTGGATAACAATGATATCAAGATTACAAAACTAACAAACAACGACCACAGTATTAACCGGGCCATTGATAAATATTTTATAGATTATATAGATTATAGGAATTTTTTTATTATTTAAAGTGAAAATAAAATGTGTCATTGTGTCCTGAACCTAAACAAGGATATTATTTTACTTGTGTAGGAAGTGACCTAACCCCTTGCTCAGTTTAAACCCCTGTAGTATTATGTTCATCAATTTTAGTGTTAGCAAACTAAATGAAATATTTTACAGATCAAGGAAAAAAAAAAGCAACACAACATTTTTGTTAAGATATCCTAAAAAATCAAAAATAAATCGTCATTAACATTTTTTGAAAAAATTTCACCATTCTAGATATAGCAAAATTCCAATCAATTTAAAAACAAACTCTTTGCTTGCTCTTCTTAAGTGAAGTTATTTGAAGAATAAGGAGGTGACTGAAATATGTGCAACTTATAAAACCCTCCAGAGAAATATTTTCTCGGAAAAAGAGTTTATATTCTGTGCGACGATCTATGTTCGTTATTACCAAAAAAAAAAAAAAAACAATGGAGACAATGTTTCTCTATGCAAGTAAAATGCTTGGAAATGATTCTACTTGATCCAGTATAAATAACATTCTCGTTACGGACCTTTGATAGTAATCTCAGTATCAAAAATGATACCAAATCTTCTACCAATAATCATTCAATGTTTTTTCGTGCATTTAAAGAAAGATGACGAAGGTGCATCTAATACAATTATCGAGGCAGTTTATTGATTTAATGGTCATTGTTCTTATTCCACCATTATTTTTACTTTAATTGGACAGTATAAATCTATATTGTCAATTAAAAAATATTTTTTCAGTTCAAGACTTTAGGATAACCTTCGAGAAAACTTGTAAATGATCTCTTCACCTTAAAACCAATTCTCAAAAATGTTGATTCTGAATTCAATTACATTTTAACTATAATTATTAGATCTGCAGGTATCACAGATCATCGATTAAAGAAAAAAAAAACCTTCTTCACTATGGCTTCGATACCACGAATAGTACCTTGGACTTCACCACAAGAATATCAGAATGTTTACCAATGGTTATATTCTGATTCTCCAGAATTACGGGAATTAGGTGTTAAACGGGTATTTAATTTTAAATTTTATTAAATTTTTTTTATTAAATAATTATTAGTTTAATAAAAAAAAAAAAAATTTTTTTTTGGAAATCAAAGGTCAAAGCCTGGTCAAGCCGTGGAAAAATTCCTCAATCTATAGTGTTTACAGCTGCATTTGTTGAGGCATCATTAAGAGACGAATTTTCATTCGGAAAAATCAAAGTATCTAATTATGAATTAAGATTATTATATTCCATGGCATTTATTAGGTAATGTTAATAAAATTTCATTATTTAAATGTCTTTTTTTTTTGTTTTTTTTTTTAAAAATAAAATTTTTATAAATATTTCTTTTAGATTTGTTAATGGTATGATAGATCCAAACCAAGGAAAATACGCCAAATCTGTTGCATCTATAGCTCATAAACTTGATATGCCTTCATGGTTCGTTGATTTACGTCATGCTGGAACACATGAACATCTTCCTAGTTTACAGGTTTTACGAAAGGGATGTCAACAGGTAAAAAATAGAAATGCTCTTAAATCAGAAATTACATTATTTCGTGCACATTTTCTGTATATAATTTAATTTAATCAGGCATTGAAATGGCTCGAAGACAAATATTGGACAGCAGAAAAGCCTGTAATTTTAGCACAAATAGATGAAATTCGTTCACTAATAATTGATTATAAAAAATATTCAAAAGGTGAATCTTAATTTATTTATTTATTTATTTATTTTTTAATTGGTATAATTGATGCTATCAAAAAAATTTAATAATAATTTTACCAGATCCTGATTCTAACAAAAAGATATCAACGAATAATGTTTTGAAGAAAATTTCAAATTTAATTACTGTGGAATACATAAGAGATATACTCGTGCCTGTTCTATTGGAAAATGGATATTTGATTCCAAAAGGAAAAAAGTATGACTCAATTGTTTTAATTATTTTAATTATTTTTCACCAAAATAGATCTATTCAAATTTTATAATTATAATAATTATAATAATGATATAATTTTGTTTGACTTTAGAAAACGATCATCAAAATCAAATATAACATTATCAACTAAATTAATAGAAATATGGTTTCCAATGCTGCAAAAATTTGGTTATGAATGGCCTACTTTTTATGATGAGTTAGTTCAGGAAATGTTAGAGAAAATGACATCCAATGATGGTAGATCTTTTTTCTTTTCAAAATTTTTATTATTACAAAAGAATATAATTACTTAGCAATTTTTTTTTCTTGTTTAATAGAAGAAGTCTATATTAATTTTTCTGATCAACTGGAAATTTTTGTATGCGAAGAATTATTATTATTATTATTATTATTATTATTATTATTATTTTGCAATTAAGATTCTCTATTAGATTTGACACATATTTTATTATCTTAATAGCAAAAATCTGAATCATCACAACCTAAAAACATATCTTCAAGTTATCTTTTCACTTTAGGTAAAAAAAATGATGATTATTTTATTTGTTCAAAAAATAAATTATTATTATATTTTTTTTTTTAACCATTTTTTTTTTAAAAAAAAAAAGTTGCCTGGATAAACCATTTCCTAGAAATAAGCTACACTAAAAAAAATAATTCTTTTATTAAGCTTGATCTGGAAAATATTCTTGAATTTTGTTTGAGGAATCCTAATCTTTAGTGAGTTAAATTTTTATCATTCATTTGGCATAATTTACATGATTTTGTAAATATCACAAATAATAAATGATATTTAATGAATTCGATTTTTAGTACAAAAATGATTTTGGAGTTTATGACAAATCACGATGAGGAGTTAAGGGAAAATATTGTGCCATTTATGATTTATATTGATAAGATGGATTTTTCTAAAAATGTGAGATTTTAAAAACTTTCTTAAAGTATTTTTATAATATTTATCCTGTTGTAATATAATACTTTATATTTCTTTCAGAACCAAAGTAATTTAAAAGAGATCCCAAGATTTACTGATGAAGATATGGAAAAGGAAATTTGGAGCTTGAGGAAAGAATTTAATAAGACATTTGATCTGAAAAAGGTTTTTTTTTTTTTTTTTTTTTTTTTTTTTTTTTTTAAAAAAAAAAAAAAAGAAGTATTATTATTATAAATAATATTTTTAAAATTTTTTTGA